AATTAGTTTGTGGTTGTCGGTACCTCATCCGTTGAACTCGACGGGAGAGGCCATATATATATATATATATATATATATATATATATATATATATATACCTACTTTTGGGTGCGACTTAAGTTTTTACCAACCCATCAATCACGAAATATAACTTATGATTAAAAAAAAAAAAAAAATATATATATATATATATATGCTTTTTTTTTTTAAAATCATAAATAATATTTCGTGCCTGATGAGTTGGTAGAGCAACGAAACTTAAGTTGCACCCTATATTGATTAATATATATTTCTTAGCCCTGTTTAACCACATAGAGCACTGTTTTGTTTACACCTTATAATACAATTAGTAAATATTTATTTGCTTACTTGTGTATGCACGCTAACGCGAATATACGATTGCTAATATCTAGTTATTTGATTTACTCACCTCTGTATCTATCTATCTATCTATTTATATATATTATATGAAATGGCTTAAATCCGACAAAATATATATATATATATATATATATATATATATATATATATATATATATAATCTAGGTGATAATGTCACTAAGATGCAAGGGGCTACAGAAAGGGAAAGAGAATGACATGTTTTGAAAACCAATCCTAAACAACAAAACAAAGCATAAACCTCTATTCCTGTACAAAAGACCGGGGAGGAGTACGAGGCGATTGATAGGCGAACCTATCTACTACGTATATGTGTGTGTTTGTGTGTTTTGTGTGTGTGTGTGTGTGTGTGTGTGTGTGTGTGTGTGTGTGTGTGTGTGTGTGTGTGTGATAGAGTTTGATTTAAAAAAAACTTGCACAGCGGCTTACCGACGATCCAATTTTAGTCTCAAAGATCTTCAGCATCGTATATATAATTAGTCTGTACATATGGACATTGACCACTTTTGTATATTTATTTTTTGCATATTCTTTACTGTCATCAGTGATTACTATTTTTTTATATATATATATATATATATATATATATATATATATATATATATATATATATATATATATATATATAAAAAAATAATATATATATATATATATATATATATATAGAGAGAGAGAGAGAGAGACCGAAATAAAGTTTGAGAGAGTTGCTGTGAATTGCAGAATCAAATTTTGTTCAGCCGGCAGGAATTCAGAATTCAAAGTTTGCCATAACATTACGGCCTTAAGAATATGGATGAACCCAATTATCCTATGTAGGTGTCTTATCATCAGTTATACTGACCATGGGTTTGACAGAAAAATGCCACATTGGTAAATGGAGGGATAGTGCTTATGCGGATTAGGCAAATTTACTCCACCATAATTATTTGATAACTCTGATAGTGACTGTCTATATTTCTGAGATGAGGTATTATTTACATTATTCGGACTATTGTCCTCATCTTTGTCGCCATATTTATCACAACGTTTCGGCCGTTGTACACTCCGGCCTTCTTCAGGTGGTTGCCTTAACCGGGTATTGAACTCACACTCAAGGACACATGGCACAGTGGATAAAGGCGTTGGTTAGATCCAGTGACAGGACCCAAAGGCAGTGGAGAACTTTCAGAGGGAAAATTAGCAGGAGATAACTGATAACTGACATCCATCAAACATGGAGCGTGGAACTAGAACAGTCTACCCAAGTGAGTGAAATAAAGGGTTCAGTTCTAAATTTCAACCACCTGAAGAAGGCCGGAGCGTACAACGGCCGAAACGTTGTGATAAATATGGCGACAAAGATGAGGACAATAGTCTGAATAATGTAAATAATGTCTGATAGTGGCATCAAAAAGGCTTCTCTTTCTATTGTCAGTCTTGACATATATCAATTTTTGTGTTTGTGCGAATGTACGTGTGTGGGAGAGAAGGAGTGACTGAGAGAGAGAAAGAAGAAGTGAGAGTGTATGAGAGAGAGAGAGAGAGAGAGAGAGAGAGAGAGAGAGAGAGAGAGAGAGAGAGGTTTTGGTCCGTACGTAAATTTCAAACGACAGATAATATATTTAACTAAAGTTGGGTATTAATTTCCTCGGCAGTACCGAGCCTGAGAAAATCACTGAGTGATGGCGATTCGACATGACGCGTTTTTGAAAGTTGGGGTGGGTGAGTAGCATTGGTTGCTCTAATCAAGGTTTGATTGTAAACGGATACTTTAGATCTTATCACCTTGCCTATCTTTTTAGCTTGTCTTTGTTCATTTCTTGTTTTATAAAATCTCTCACTTTTTTTTTTTAGACATTTGTTTCCTTTCTCGTTTTTCTTTTCTTGCATTATTTTAGGTCTCTATTTTCTTTCACTTTCTTTTTTTTTAAATATTCTTCATCCTGTACAAGGCCCGAGAATCACTCGATGTAGAGGTTTATAGAGAATGAGGTACAGTTTATGTGGCCATGTAGTGAAGATAAAGGTTAACCATAGATTTGAATAGTTTAAGATTGTTGCGATCGGTGAAGAATCCTCTTGGGAGCCGGTTTCACAAAGCTGCAGTTCGTGGGAAGAAGCTGTTCCAGGGGAACTTACATCTTACCAATGGAATACAAAGGTAATGAGGGTGGTCCGCTACAATGTGCGTGGCATGTCAGGTCCTAGCCGTGAAGGTTAGAACTGGTGGAACTAAGGAGTGTAGTTCGTCTGAGCACTTTTCATGGAAATAGTGATAGAGCAATGAGATGCTTGCGACGTTTTGTCTGTGAGAAAGAGGGTGTAGGGCGGAAAATGATTTATCACCCACAAGGACGTGTATATGCTTTTGGACTCTATTGAGATTAGAAAGTGAAGACTGGGCAGCTCCTGTCCACATATGTCAACAGTACCCCATTTTTGGCCTGATCTGGCTCCTGTAAATGTAGAGAGTAGCAGGAGGAGTTAGGTACTTACTGGAATAGTACAGTAAAACTGACCTTTTTTTCTTGCATCTTTAGTGATGAATCGTATGTACAAATTCTACTTGAGGTCTGGTGTGACTTTTAGTCGCAATAGGTGTTCAAAGCATGGGGTTTCCACGAGGAAACATCCACCCATCGCGACTGGTAATGGTTCAATGTCTGATTGGCAATGATGGAATGTAACTAGCTTGGTTCTCGAGGCATTGAATGTAACCAGCCAGTTTTCATCTATTGAGATGTTAGGGCTAGGTCAGAGGAGAGATCAGCGGCCAAGCTCTGGTCATCAAGAGTTTTGGAGACACACCCATATACCATTGTCTCATAAGCATAGATATTCACAAATCATCAGTGTATACTATTAGGCAGATCATTTACGCAAAGTAAAGTGTTGATCCGAGTAGTGATCCCTATGGGACGCTTGCGTTGATAGCTAGGGCCTCGAAGTACTGGTCGTTAGCAACTACCTTCAGGGACCTATTAGTTAGGAAGGACTTTATAATTGAAAAAAAATCTTACAAATTCCATTTGTCCTTGAGATAATTTTTCATTTTTTCTTTCATTTCCTTTCATGTTGGCACTGTCTCTTTATTGTTCTCTCTCTCCCTCTCTCTCCCTCTCTCTCTTTCTCTCTCTCTCTTTCTCTCTCCCTCTCTCTCTCTCTCTTTCTCTCTTTCTGTTGCCATAATTTGCTTTCTATTTGTTTTTTTTTCTCGTTGAAATTATTGTTCTCTTTTTCTGTTACTGTGCAGTCTTTTCTTTCTTTATTTCATTCTTAGAAATCTTTCTTTCTTTCTTTCTTTCTTTCTTTCTTTCTAGAAGTCTTTCTTTCTTTCTTTATTTCGTTCGTAGAAATCTTCCTTTCTTTCTTTCTTTCTTTCTTTCTAGAAGTCTTTCTAGAAGTCTTTCTTTCTTTCTTTCTAGAAGTCTTTCTTTCTTTATTTATTTCGTTCGTAGAAATCTTCCTTTCTTTCTTTCTTTCTTTCTTTCTTTCTTTCTTTCTTTCTTTCTTTCTTTCTTTTGTATTAATAGTAATACGTCATTTTGTATCCTTCCTTCCTTTCTTTCTTTCTTTCTTTCTTTCTTTCTTTCTTTCTTTCTTTCTTTCTTAATACTATCCTACTATTCTTTATTTTTCCTTATTCTTTACACCTGTCGAAAATTCCTTTAATTTTTGACGGAGACGTGTCTAGCTCTATTTTCAAAAAATAGTAAAGACGTATAGAATGCTGAAGGTAACAATATTTATTTTTTTTATTCTTTCCCTTTTCTAAATCATTTGCGTTATTTTTCATTATTTATTTTTGCAAATCTTTCTCTTTTATTTTGTTTCTTAAATTTCTTTCCCACCATTTTTTGCCTTATTTCTTTCTTTCATTTGAACTTTGATTTCAATCAATGTCTATTACGTTGCCAGATTTTCCAACTCGCTATTTGTTTGTTTGTCTGTTTGTTTGTTTCTTTTTTTCTTTCTTCGTAAACTCAGGTTTAGATAAACCACCAAGCCGGTTTCTTTTCTTCCCGATCTCTCTCTCTCTTTCTGTGGTTTCCCGCTCAGTTGATACCACGTGATCCTCAAAAACCACGCATAGAATGCGATCGTCAAAGATTAAAGTTTCCATTTACAAAATCCTATATCTTTATCTATCAATACACAGCCGAAATCTTCCTCTTCGGATCTGACATCATTTTTCCTTTAATTCTTAATTCTTTCATTCTTAGCTTTTCATTTTTCTTTCTATTTCTTCGTCTATGTATTTGCATTTCCTTTTCTTTTTGTTTTAACCATCTCCTTATCACACTTTCTTACGCTTGTCAAATTGTCAGTTCCTTCCTTCCTTCCTTCCTTCCTTCATCCTTCCTTCCTTCCTTCCTTCCTTCCTTCCTTCCTTCCTTCCTTCCTTCCTTCATCCTTCCTTCCTTCCTTCCTTCCTTCCTTCCTTCCTTCCTTCCTTCCTTCATCCTTTCTCCCTTCCTTCCTTCCTTCCTTTCTCCCTTTCTTCCTTCCTTCCTTCCTTCCTTCCTCGCTTCCTTCCTTCCTTCCTTCCTTCCTTCCTTCCTTCCTTCCTTCCTTCCTTCCTTCCTTCCTTCCCTTCTTTTTCTCTTCTTTTCTGTTTCGGCTTGTGGCCACATCACGTTGAAACATCGATTCCCGTATGATCACCGAAGTTAAGCAACGTCGAGCCTGGCCAATACCTAGATTAGTGACCGCTTGGGAATACCAAGTGCTGTAAGCTTGGATGTGTGGATGGTGTAAAGGATAATGGCTTGGAATTGTTAATCGGATAACTGGTTTTCAATTGCAGTGGGGTTCGTTATATTCACTTAAGCGCAAATACTCTTGAGAAAGATATGAAACCACCTCTTCTCCTCTTAGCTATGGGTTAATTAGTATAACTTGTATCACTAAAACTATTATTATCTAAAAAAAATATGTACAAATATTTAGATTTCGGCATTAAATAACCCATAGAGGTGTTGATATGCCGCTAAATAAAAAAAATTCTCTTTCTTCCCTATTTGTACTCCTTCCTAATTTCTTCTTCTCATCTAGTTTACTGGTGTACATTTATTCTTTCTTTCTTTCTTTCTCATTTAATTTACTGCAGCACTCCTGTACCTTTTACTTTCTTTCTTTCTTTCTTTCTTTCTTTCTTTCTTTCTTTCTTTCACTTAACCTCTTTTTCTTCTTCCTCTTCTTTCATATTTCTTTCTTTCCTTTTCACATTCCCTGATATCTTTGTCGTTACCTATATACAAGCAGCTCCCCGGTTATAAGCTCGGACGGAGCTCAAGTTCCGGTCAAGTCTGTTGCGCTCACTTTCGCATTGATGACCCATGGAAAGGCATGAACTCATCTCTTCTTCTCTCCGCTATGGGTTAAATAGCGGTATAGACAGAGCTCACGAGCTTTGGAGGCCACCCAGTCTAGGAGAATGACTACTCTGAATACAAAACTGTTGAGAAGATAAAACTCTTGACTATTTTTTCTTAAGAAGTCATGACAATTCACAAATAAAAAAGGAAAGGAATGTGTGGAGAGCCGTGATCGAATACATTGCAAAGGGCGTGTTATTTAAAAAAAATCCTCTGCTGCTCTTTCAGTAATCTTCAGCTTCTCTTATTTTTTCATATTACCTTTCCTTAATGGAAGAAGTTATTTTACTGGTCAAGGTAAAATAGACAAACATGCTTTTAAGCTTATTTTTATCGCTGTCGGTATAATGTAACCGCCTTTTCTTCTCAAACAGCTTCTTCTTTCGCACTTCCTATCTGTGGAACTCTCTTCCACTTACTTGCTTCCCCGATGACTATAATCTTCAAATATTCAAATGTAATGTCAATCGACATCTGACTCCCTGATCTTGTTCCCCATCCTTTTCTGTATCCTTTCCTCAAACACGCCTCTTTACTCTTGTTCCCAATTCTCTGTAACCCTTTGCATGCTAGTGGCACTCCCGCCTTGCTTGGGGTGAATTGCTTAAAAAAAAGACCCTTCTAGGCTTTCTTGCCAGTAAATGTTTTTATTATCATGAAGGTAGGTAATGTTAAAAATAACAACACAGATTTAACACAGAAGTTGATTTATTTTTATCATCAATTGTTAAGACAATTTAACATCTTTTCTACCATCAATTGTTAAAATACAAGTTAAAGTAGTTTTTTCATCATCAATTATTAAAAGAAATATAGAAGACTCTGAATATTTTAAGCACTTCAAGTATAACTGTCTCTGCCAATACAAAGCTGGCCCTTGGGCATGGTTCTCTTGCCATATACAATTCAGGTTCACCCACTGAAGACAACAGTCACAGAACACAGAATCCATGTTGTTCATGTCCTGCCTACACAACCACTGCCTTGACAATCTCTAATATAATAAATCTACTTATTTTTACTGGCAAAATAGCCTTGGTGTCTTTTACTGGGACTGGCAAAATAGTCTATTCAAAAATAAAATATATTCTAAGATTGTTTATCAAAAAATAAAACATACTTTATATGAAATTGCCATTATGCAAATAAATTAAATAAAATAATTTTAAAGCATGATCTCAAATTAATCCAATTACTTGGGGGTGCCAAAACAAATGTGCAGATATTTTGTACACTAAATTTTTACTAAATGGAATTTCAAACCTATGGAAAAATTCCTCTTTCATTTGATTATGATGTAACAGAGATTAGAGATAGTCTGATGTTTATTGCTATAGACTTCAGTCAACTAGATTTCAAAAAGGAAAATTGGTTTGTCTGTATGACCTTCAAAAGAAGGTTTTTTTTCTTTCTCTCTTTCTTTAAATCTAAACCATCATGTTTTTGTTTTGTTTTAATCTTGACATTTTGCCACTTTTAAAGCATAATACACATTAGGTTGGCCAGAAAGTCCTGACTCACTTGGGAAGTGGAAAGAAAACAACAAATCTTGACGATCTCAAATATAATATATTCTGAGTTCTAAAACACTATATTTAGCGGCAAAATAACCTCGGTGTTTATTTTACCATGACCGGCAATATAGCCTCGGTGTCTATTTTACCAGGACCGGCAAAATATCCTCGGTGTCTATTTTACCAGGACCGGCAAAATAAGCTCGGTGTCTATTTTACCAGGACTGGCAAAATAGACTCGGTTTATATTTTACCAGGACCGGCAAATAGCCTTTGTGTCTCTTTTACCAGGACCGGCAAAATAGCCTCGGTGTCCATTATACCAGGACCGGTAAAATAACCTCGGTGTCTATTTTATCAGGACCGGCAAAATAAACTTGGTGTCTATTTTACCAGGACTGGAAATTAGCCTTGTTGTCTATTTTACTAGGACCGGCAAAATAACCTCGGTGTCTGTTTTACCAGGACCGGCGAAATAGCCTCTTCGTTTCTTAATAGTTATTAATTTCTCTTTCACTTTCTTTCGTAAAACACGCCTTTTGTGTTTGTATATATGTGTTCAGAAAGCAATTTACTAAGACGAAAGTGTATAGAAAGTGCTTTAATCGCAAGATCCTCCACAGTAAATTTGCATCCAGGTTCTTCTACAACATTTCACCATTCTTGGCAGATCTTCTGTTTTCACAATGTAGGATACTTAATAAGAAAATTTATAAAAATATAAACAAAAAGAAAAGAAAACTAAATGAAATTAGCTAGACTATATACGCAAACATATATTAAAAAAATATTAAAATTAAAAAAAAGTTTTAGCTTCAGTTGCTTTCCCACCGCCGTCGTGTAGCTTCTCTGGGTCTTTTCTATGAAGTTTTCTTGGCAATCGCTCTGTCGAGCTTTCCTCTTTGATACATCAACTTTACGAATTTAAAAAGATTGGCAGTTAGGTCTCATCAATTTATTGAAGAAATTGCTAGATCTAACCGCAAGTTCTATGTTAAGAGTTTCTTCTTCCGCACTTCTTGCTTTTGGAGCTCTCTTCCGGCTTCTTGCATTGCAGTCAAATTTGATGTTCAAAGATATCAATGAAGCATCAATAACCCCTTGTGTCTTTACCGCCTTCCTTGAGGTGAAATGATTAATAAAACGAGAAGAGGTACGAGAAAAGCATATATTTAACTTTTATAAGGAATTAATTGTAAGAGAATTAGGGGACTTATCAGGATTTGTTATCGTAACATTAGCAGATTCGTCAAAAGGAAAACTGAAAGAGTTGTTCAGGTAAGTTAGCTGAGGAAATCCAAAAGAACGAAATGACCATTAGCTGTAAGGAGACATAATAATAGATGGTAATGAACAAAAGCCCAAGGAATAAGACCTGAACTGGGGGTGTCAAAAAAAAAAAAATAATAAAAAAAAAGCAGGTGCAGAAATTTAGGGAGTGTAGTAAGCGTATCGAGAAAATTGTTTGAAAAGAATTATTCGAAAAACATATATTTGAATTGTAAACTGAATGAAAATTAATCGAAAGGACAGTTATACTAAATGGTAATTATTCGAAATACCTATGTTTGAAACACGTATGTGGTCTTGCTTTGAGAGAGTCAATGCTGGTTTACCTCGAACAAATAATGCCCTTGAAGGAATGTGTAGGTTTTTTTGCAGTAAATACAAAGTACAACCAAAATCTACATGAAGTATATTTCTTGACTTTCTTCAACACACGGCAATTTAAACCAATGAAAAGTTCATCACAGATAATTTTACAAAAATATAGCGTTAGGCGATAAAGTGTAAATGGACCAGAACATCGAACATTGCGGCTGGCAGAGGATAGGAAAAAAAACATTTTGCTTATAGTTACTTTGTTCAAACTTTTTCTTTTTCACAATGAAAATTAATCGAAAGGACAATTATACTAAATGGTAATTATTCGAAATAGCTATGTTTTAACTACGTATGTGGTCTTGCTTTAAGAGAGTCAAAGCTGGTTTACCTTGAACTAATAACACAATTGAAAGATGACAGGACATTTTCCAGCAAGTGTCATCGCATCAGCCAACAATTTGGAAATTCTTAAATGCTCTTAAAAGAGAATGGAATTTGCAAAAAATTCATATTGAAAAAATAAGATCAGGTTGTCAAAATATTCAGAGCGTCAAGAAGTACTGCGACGTAAATGGAAAACTTAAAAAAATTATTGGCTTCTTTTAACGAGTACTCTTCATAGTTGACTATTTACGTGCAGTATCATATAACTTAAGGTTATAAGGATTTTTTCTTACGAAATTGTTTTATTAACGATATTTGTATTTCGAATAATTATCATTTGTTTATTTCCTCTTGTAATTTTCATATTTTTATTGCAAGAAAGAATTTCGAATAATTCTCATTCAGTACAACTGTCCTTTTGATTAATTTTAATTCAAACAATTTCAGTCAGTTATGTGCCATGCATGATACACGCTTAGGCGATCATGTATCGAAAGATACATGACTGACGAAGCAGATTTTTCCCGCAGTAGGTTTCCATTTTTTTCTGCGGTAGAGCAGTTGCCATCCAAGGTTATAGAACCCGGTTTGTTCTGCTATTTACCAATAGCTTGGGGGGGGGGGAGAAGAAGAGGATTCATACCTTTCCCAAGGGTATTAGCACGTAACTGAATTTCAGTCAGTTATGTGCCATGCGTGATTCACGCTTAGGTGATCATGTATCTTTCGATACATAACTGACGAGGCAGATTTTTTTCCACACAGTAGGTTATCATTTCTTTCTGCGGTGGACCAGTTGCCATCCAAGAACCTGGTCTTGTCCTGTTAGTTACGCATAGCTGGAGGGAGAAGAAG